CCCTCTATGCAATTTTTTTCTACCACCCGGAACAAATATCTTATCCAGTTTAAAATATCCACTAAAGCAGTGGTTCCCAAACTTGGCAACTTTAAGACTTGTGGACTTCAACTCCCAGCTGGCTGGAGAATTCTGGGAGTTGAAGTCCACAAGTCTTAAAGTTGCCAAGTTTGGGAACCACTGCACTAAACCATACTTTCCTATGCAACTTTGCCTGTTGTCTGATGGATTTCAACCAGAGGTGGAAACAGCAGGCCAGTCGAAGGTAGTTTTGATGTTCAATGACTAATAAGCAGTAGCTCACTTCAAGTGAGGAACGATTTTCCTTTCTGACTCCCAGCATGAAAACAACAATTGAGGCCTAGTGTTGGCGAACTACCTGTGAAATTAATGTTAAACGAAAACATTATTGTTCAACTTTTTCCAGGATGCATTTTAATAAATCAAATCATCTTAATATTAAGTTATGACTTGTTACAGCCAAATTGCAGCATGTGTCCTTGGTGTCATCCGTTCCAAAGTTTTCAGTTCAATATAGAAAGGACAGTTTAATCCCGAGTGATTGTGATGTACCTAGAGGATGCTGCATATTGTACATAATTGCAGTCTAAATATATTTGCTTAAAAATACTGCTAGTGCCACGTTCTATTAAAACGTTTCAGAGAAAATTGTTGCTATTGCTGAAGGTTCTGCCTTTGGGAGTAGTGCCTCAAGAATCCATCCAGGAGCTGAAAATTATTATTTTTAATGTATGCCTCCCAAAGTTAGCTTTGGTGAAATGGACAGCTATATAAGCCTGATTGATTGATTGATAACTAACTAACTAAATAAATACTGTGCATAAACTCTGTTACATCATTGTGCACCAGTCTTTGGGATATGCTATTTAGGTACCTTCTCAATCAGTTTGATTTCCACTGAATTATTAAGTGAAAAAGATAACTTATCAATGCTCATAATTGAGCATTGCTTTTAAAGTTTTGCTTGGTGTTTGAAAACTCCATTCTCTTAGGAGAATGAAATGTTATTTTACTTAGTGCATCCAGTTATGGATAATAACCAATAAAATTACCCTCTAGAAAAATAATGACTTTTTATGTCAATGCTTTGTTATTATTGACAGAGTGGAAAGTTAAGCAAGGAGCTAGACTTAGTTGGCCACAAGGTGAGAACAAAACTGGATGAACTGAAAAGGCAGGAAGTTGCAAGATTAAGGATGTTAATCAAAGCCAAGATTGATGCATATCAAGGTAAGCAGACATGGGGGGGGGGATGAATTGGCAATAATGTTTCAATTTTCTCCTTCATTTACAGCTGTGTTTGAATCAGATAAAACTGTGTTCCTGTGGTGTTTTTTTTTACTTCATTACTTATTCTTGTTCTACTCAAAAATCAGGGGTGAGAATGACAAGCTCGTTCTGAAGAAAACAACATCTGCAAAATAAATTGCTTGAAATTGAATCAGTTTAAAGAAGGGGTTTCCATTGTGACATTGTCGTGTAGCTTTGTGTTAGTTTTCAAATAAACCATTCAAGCAAATCTTTGCATAGGAGGAATGCAGTATTTCAGATAATAATCCATATGTTCAAATCATGAAAATTCATCATGTGTAATGACAACTTTAATTGTGAAACAGTTTAAATCTTCTCTACAGCAGATGGTAGAAATTAAGTGACCTTGGCTGATTTCAAAAAGTTAAACAGAATCAAACCCAGAATAGCATTTAAATGATCTACCAGGGAGTTCTTGGTGTGTAGACCAAACTAGAAAATCACCAAAAGCAACAATCCAGACAAAGGGAATAGCAAACCCTCTCCATATTGACATCATAAAAACAATACATGCATGTCAACACCAGAAGCCAAGTTGGAGAATTAGGGCCCGTTTACACAATTATCCCTTTTACATTTCTTTTTCCTTCTCTTATTTTGACTAGATAAATTCCATTCCAAAACATAACACTACACTGCAGGTCACTTCTCAAATATTATGAAGATGAAGTGGGCTATAGGAAGAAAGCACTCCATCCCCAACCAACGTTGCCTTAATGGAATTCTGAAAATTTTATATCAGTTTTTAAAACTCGTTGACTATATACAAATAGGGTATAATAAATAACATTACCAATAAAATATTATTACTTTAAATTTAAAATCTATTTTCTTCATCTTATAGAGAGGCCCATAAAAAGCATAATTCTTTGGAGAGGGCTAGGATTATAATATCCTATTTGGAAATGGTTAATGTGCCTTTATTTCCTTAGTAAGAATTGTTTGGTGTATGTAAAAAAAAAAAATGTGGGAAAATAACGTGATAATCTAGTAATTTAATTTGTAGCTGCAAACCAGTGGTGGGTTGCAGGCGGTACACCCCGGTACAGGCATACCGGAGCCTGCCCGGAGCACTGGGTACCGTTCCGGTATGGTGCTCTGGAGGGCTCACCCGCTCACCCTTGCGTCTTACCTGTCTTTAAACTCTTCGGCGCTTCCGAGCATGGCCCGAACAGTGCCTGCGTGATACTCCGCCGAGCATCTGGAGCATCACGGAGGTTCGCGGAGGCGTCGCTGGATGGTAAGATGCATGCACATGCTGCGCATATTCATGTGGAGGACAACGGGGCCCGTTGCACCCGGTACGGTTGCACCGGGATCCAGAACCCACCATTGCTGCAAACCTACATCTTGCTTGGATTGCATAGCATATCAACAAGTAGCAAAAGTAGAGACATTCTTCTCTAAAAATGTTGTCATACTTTAAGAGCACTTGGGACATTCCTTCTTTTTATTTAAACACCCAAGCACTGTCCTTTGCAACCTACATTCATTCATAATCTTAACAGCCCAATGGCAGTCCAGTTATACAGGTTTTTCTGTCTCTTATCGATAGCTTTTCCTGACCGGCATATATTCTCATTCTCTCTACACCTTGTCCCTCTGGTTAAGGTCAAGGAGGTTTTTGTAATCTCCACATAAGCAGGCATTAAGCCACCTGAGGAATTGTCTTCAGATTAAAGGAAAGAATCATCCCAAGCAATTTGGCCTGTCCTGAGCAGGCCTGTTATCCTCACATGCCATGGAGGAAGCCACCCAGAGTTGGGCTTCAAAATATTTAGCAAGGGGTTCTCTGCCCAGTTGCTGGTTGGGCATGGCCATAGTGGGTGTGGCCTAATCAGCCTGCTGCACCACAGGGAAGGGGGTTGCCCTTCCCGGGCTCCGGAAGCTTTACTCAAGCCTCCGTGAGGGTGAAAACTGCTTCCCCAGGCTCCGGAGGCCGCCATTTCCACCCTTCCCAAACGTCCAGTACGCCCGTTTTTCACCCTCCCTGAGCCTCTGTGTCTGCCCTGCACTTACCTGCATCCAAAATGGGGCACATGGGGACTCCTGGGAGGGGAGTGCTGCTGTGGGCAGGGCAAACTAGGAGTGGCATTTGGGAGTTCTCTGAACTGCACAGAATCTTAGCTAAAGATTCTCCCGAACCCCTGCGAACCCCCAGCAGCACACCCCACCATTCCTATAATCATGACTGAAAACAATTCAAGATCTGGACTAGTCAGTTTTTATATCTGGAGTTTGTGTCCTAGTAGCAACAACATCATCAACAACAACAATACCTTTTATATTGCCTGGTCAATTTGCATCTGATTTAAAACCTCCGTTTTAACCTTGTGAACACTGTAGGTTATGAATATCTTCGTAAAATATGAATTGCCTTTTAAGATATACTCTTGAATTCTATCCAGTGTTTGTTGTTTTATATCTATCAATGTAGTCATCATGGTTCTGTTTTTGTGTGGGTTTCCTTTAGATTCTGGCATAGACCATCAAGCTCTTCTCAAACAGTTTGAGCATCTGAACCATCACAACCCTCACACTTTTGAAGTTAAAGATTTAGACATGCTAATCAAAACTGTAAGTGTCCAGCCAATATTTTTTCAGATGCTTGTTTGCTTTCTCTCTCTCTCTCTCTTTAAAAAAATATTTTTCTATACTGGTCTGAAATTTTGTCTCTTAATTTTTTAAAAAACATCTTTCATAATTATCTCAGAAATCTTAACTTGGAACTCCATTTGGATCCCTCATATAATGTTGTGTTACACAAGATTTGTGCACTTAACAACTGCCCTTTACCCATCTGCTTGTGTTCCTTGTAGTCAGTGCATCATGGAATGAATGTTCTCAAGCCAATATAAGCAGCTTTATATTTTTACTAAGTCTTTAAACCTTTAAACTGAGCCCGTTTAATTCCTTCTCACATTTTGTTATACTTGGAACTAACTTTGTATTAGTCAACCAATATTGTTTTACTGGATTAACAGACTGTTTAATTGGTATTGAAACCAATTTAAATGTACTCAGTTTTCCGAATAATCGCATAGTTTATTTTGCAATGCTAGAAATCTCATTTGCCAACATAAAAACCATTCAGTGATGGCAGGAAAAGCTTCTTCAATGCAGCAGATCCTGAATAGCTTTAAAATTTAATCAAGTATATATTTGTTTAACATCTGCTCCACAGATAAATGAACAATTGCAATTATTAATTAACTTACTAATTAAAACTAAAAACTAATTAATTAAAACTTAACTTAAAAAAAAAATTAAAAAGCTGGGAACAGAATTGCAGATATAAAAAGTATAACTGAAATAAATGAATGAATGAGCTAGTTTGGAGTAATGGCTAAGGCACCAAACTAGAAATCAGGACACTGTAAGTTCTATTCCTGCCATGGGCATCTTGGCCCAGTTACCTCTCAGCCCCAGGAAGGAGGCAATGACAAACCATTTCTGAAAAACCTTCCCAAGAAAACTTCTCTAGGCAGTCTGTGAGAATCAGGAGTGGTTGAACAGAAAATTTAAAAAAAGACAGGGCGGACTTCTACAAAGGAAACCGTGCTAGTCCCTGCTGCAGGAGGGAAGGAGGAAGGTAAGGCTCGCCTCTTCCCAGCTAAGTGGCAAGAAAACATCCCTTTTTGTCCACACCTTACAGGTCTGTGCCTAGGGAGATTCTCAGTCATCAAGGGCACAGTTGTCCCCCAGGTGCTTTTTCAAAAGGCAGCTGGACTTCGTTTTTCATTGAAAACGTTTTGCTTCTCATCCAAGAAGCTTCTTCAGTTCTGACTGAATGGGGGAGGATGGAAGGATTGCTGCAAGGAATATAAATTATTCCATCTTCCACCATTCAGTCAGAACTGAACAAGCTTCTTGGATGAGAAGCGAAACATCTTCAAGGAAAAACACAGTCCAGTTGCCCTTTGGAAAAACACCTTTGGAACTTACTAATTCATGATCAGGGCACCTATATTGTAAGCCTTCAAAAAAATGGTTGAAAGTCACATATATTTACGACTTATTAATAGATCTCCCCCCCACCCCCTTTATGACTTTGTATGCAACTCAAAGCGGTGAACTTATTTAATATTCCTTCCTCCGTCTCTGCAACAACAACCCCGTAAGGTGGATTAGACTGAGAGAGAATGGTTTGCCCAAAGTCACCAACCTGGCTTCCCATGCCTAAGTCATGGCTAGAACTCACAGTCTGCTGGTTTTGAGATTATCAACTTCAACACTACCCAAACTGGATCATTTATTTTTGATCCAAATTCTAAAAGCACAGCCTCCTTTGAGTCAAAGTCTAAACCTCGAGTGATGTGCTGGAGCTATTTCAAAAAATGGGCAAAGATCTACAACCAATTAATTAAATATTTAATGTGTCTATTCTTATATCTAATAATTTTCCCTTTGTGATCCAGAACAATTAACAAATTTGTGGTAATCTCTATTTGTTTGCTGCTTTCAAAGCATGGCAAATCCAAATGGCACCTTTCTACTGTTAATTTTTTTGTCTATTCTATTTTTATTTTTAAAAATATTTATCTTTTATGATTTTATTGCTTTTAATGTTGCAAGCCACCCAGAGTTGCTTTGAAGTAAGATGGGCAGAAGACAAATGCAATAAATGTAATAGATAAAATAAATAAAATAAATAAATAAAATAAATAAAATAAATAAAATAAATAAAATAAATAAAATAAATAAAATAAAATAAAATGTCCAGGGCCAGTCAGTTTAATTGTGACAGCAATATTTAACAATCACACTTAAAAATAAGTCAATTTTGTTATTCCTATTTTGTAGAGATGGAGGCAGAAGCATAAAAAAATGAGCTTTTAGCACCCTCTAGTGTCAGTTAATTTACTATGTGATAATCGTTGGTAGAGAATTCCTGTAATATCATACGTACCTTCTTCATAAGTGAAGCAAGGATTTAAGGAAATAATGCTGAGTTTTCTCTGTGGGAGACAAAGTATTAAACGAATCACATAAGATGCTGAAGAATATTAAAGAAAATTCTCATTAAAGAATATAATTAAAAGAATTAGATGAGTAAAATAATTAGAATTAGGGTTGAATTCTGGAGTCCTTGGTGTTCTCTTATTTGCTTGCAGAAATGTCATTACCCAACTACATAACATCATCAATCACTTAGTGAAACTGCAATTTTGCCTAATATCTTACTTCAGTTTCCTTTGCTTTAGAGATCTGTGAAGATCATAAATGTGAGGGTGGGTCATAAAGTTACTTTTTCATCACAGTTGTGTTTGTGAATGGTTGTTAAATAAGGCAGTCACTAAATGAAGATTAACTGTAATTTTAGATAGCCTGGCTAAAGATTTCTTATACTACACATTTAGTCTAAGTTTAGATGCAGTGAAGATGTTTAGTATACAACAGTAATTCTGAGTTTCTTCATATTTTCATTTTCTGCTAATCCAAAGGAGATGGTTGTGGAATTTATTGTTCAGGAATTCCTTATGAACTTGGATAGATCATGAGAAAAATGTCCTGAGGGAAATGAGAAGGCGGCCTGGTCAACAAGAGTTTCTTAATGCTGGTTAGCTCAATGTTTATCCTCACTCTAGAGGGGAAAAACAGATTTTGTTTCAATTTTTAACTCTTTTTATTTGCAGGCTACACATGACTTAGAAAACTATGACAAAACCCATCATGAGGAGTTTAAGAAGTATGAGATGATGAAAGAACATGAAAGGAGAGAATATCTAAAAACACTGGATGAAGAAAAGAGGCACCAAGAAGAAGCTAAATATGAAGAAATGAAAAAAAAGCATGGTGATCACCCCAAAGTGAATCATCCTGTAAGTCCGCTGTTTTTATCCACACTGTATAAAATATATTGGATTGTATATTTTTATTTATTTTGTTTATCAAACTTATATGGCCGCTCATCTGACACAAAATCTGAGTATGTAGAACAGGGGTCCCCAACCTGTAGGCTGCAGGCTAATCACCACCCTGCTATGTGAGTGGCCGGCTGGTGCACGTGCCTCTGTGCATGCGCGCAGCCCCACTCGCATGAGTATCATTGTGGATACACTTGGCCCCATTCACACAAGCCTTGTTGTGGGCATTTGCAGCCCCACTCGTGCGAGCCTCATCACAGATGCTCTTGGACCCACTTGTGCATGGCCGCGAACATCACAGGCATTCGCACACCCACACACATGTGCTTGTCTCCCAATCCCCACTCCAAGCCACCCACCTGGGAACTCTGGAGAACTCTGGTATAGAATAACAATTAAAATATTATATGAAATATATATTTTATATATTTATATATTATATAGTTATATATTTAAAACAAAAATAAATTTTAAAAAGGTAATGAAAGGGAACACATCAAATAAAATCTGTAGTATGGTCATACACCAGGATAATGGAACTCATCAGAATTGTATGCATGTTGGCAGAGATCCCTTGACTGAAAAAGTCAAGATCACAAGGGTCAGTTAAATGGATACTAAATCATTTATTCATTCATTTATTTCAATATCATGACAGGCTTTACCACACTAAAATATTATAATTTTTGAGCTTGATTTTTGGTCACTAATCTCATTAAGCTTTTAAACTATAACCAAGTATAAATGCCATTTCCTATGCCTCCTATACAATTCTGATGAGTTC